TCCCAGGCCTCCTGAGCATCTGACTGCCAAAGGCTCCAAGTGGTCAAAGCAACCACGCCACTTGCGACCAACAGAACGGCCAAGCGTGCCGTCCTGGCTGCAAGCACATCAGCATGAGACTCCGGTGACGGGGCATGTGAACCTGGACTTGCCCTGTGCTCTCGCTTCTTGCAGAACAGCTGATAATCATAATTGCCGATATGAACTAACTGCAAGCCCATGTAACAATACCCTGAGGTAGACAATGCACAATGCTGCTGTGCGACGGCCGTTTGTCACACTTTTGTTGACCCTCTTTACATCCTTCTACTAAGGTTATACATGAGAGTCTGAAAGCAGCTTCCAAACCTGTTTCTGTCCCGTCCCGAAAGCATTTGAGGAAGGTTTCACCAGATAAAGAGGACTTGAAAGTTTGTAGTGCTGTGCCATGCAGTGCCTCTCTTGAGCCATTTCGACTACTTCCCGAAGCTCGCCCTTCGACGCTCGAAGCCAAGGAACCGAGACCAACCGCAGTCATTGCCACCTACATATTTGTCTTGGAACCTGTCGCAATTTGGGCAGGTGTCGGGTGATGGGTTTTTTCTCGCGACTTCTAGTGCTTGCAAGCGACAGGGTTGAGTGGATAACTTGATATGAAGGAAACACGGAGGAAAGCGTGCTCTGGCATTCACAGGCAAAGTTCGAGGAGTTCTTAAGTTTAGGTTGGAGGCCATTGCTATTAGAGTGGAGGCCATCGCTTCTAGGTTGAAGGCCATCGCTACTATTAGGTTGGGACCATGGAATTGCAATGAATTACCATGTTCATCCTTTTTTGAGGCTGGCGCATGGCGGTGAGGGGCTGCTGCTTCCAATGCCACACACAGGAGGAAGCTTGAGCCGAAGCACGATTGAGCGCCGGTTGCTTATGCCGTCAGAAAAACAGCACAGCTTCCAAACAAAGTCTTCAGGCATGCCGTCAGCCAGCAGTCTTGGCAGGAAGTTGTGAACTATTTACCTGGCTAACAACTGCAGTGGCTACACGCTTTGACCAAAGAATGCGCATTTCTCAATAATGAAATGCTCAAGAAGATCCAAGAAGAAAGCTACGTGAATGCAGCATAATGCAGCCGTTCGATGCAGGGCTCTAATTAAGATGCTCTGAGGCCAAGGCAAGGACATCTGCGAACTAGGGAGGTTAGGTGCCTTTTTCTCCCATGGCATCTTGATGTTCCTGTCACGAAGCAACACTATAGACGTGCAAGCCTGATGCTAGTTCCCGCGCACAGGCGTTTCGCAACATGTCGGCACGGCGTAATTTTGGTGTCCACACCTTGATTTCAAACGCGCACCGTACTCCCGACCTTCGCCCCAAAAAGATAAATATCCTCAAAGAACAGGAATCCAGAATGCGACAACAAAAATGGAGACTCGCAAGTTCCTTAAGCTAGCGACGGGAAGCCCAGGAGAAGTCGCTGGAGCCCATCAGAAGAAAGCCTTGCACCTTATGCATGATGAGATCTTTGATGCCACATGGACCTCATCTTGTTTAAATGTTGCATCTAGAGCCCACATGACCAGGCTTTCAAGGATCATCCAGAATCTCAATCCTAGCATGTCAAGTTCATGTCAAGCAAAACCTATCGGATAGACATCGAATATATGAGCCTCACAGGCAGATCTATATAAGGTATTCTAAGGTGATCTAAGGTCTCAACCGGATCATAATCAAAGTGCGCGATGCCAAAAGAGGCCTCCTGTACTTCAGCTGACTGGACCTGTTGCGAGCGGCCTTTCTTTTTTCTTTATAAACCTTGAAAACATCTTTTCTTTATCAAGAGTGTCTGATTCGTTGCAAGGCTCTTGAAACTGCAGAATCACAAGCTTTTAGACTACAACGAGATTCACATTATCAGCAAATCAGTCCCTGCAAAGCTAGCTATTAGAGCTTTGCAGGGTCGGTTTGTTTGGCCAAACAACATCTAAGACTCCGTGATGCTCCATGATTCATCGATGATGTTCAATGCTTGGCTCTGAACCGGCTCAGATGCATCTGGCTGGGACAAATATGGCACCTCGTCGATTCAAGCCAAGTGCCCCTTTCATAAGCTAAACTTGCTCTTCACGTTTCCCTAATTTTTAATTAGGAACTTGAACCAAATCATTAGTGCGAGCGCTTCTTCAAGGAAACTCTCCCCGCCCTCAGGCAGTTGTAGCTTCCTTGAAGAAGTGCGAGCTATCCTGCGTCCTAGCTAGGAGCGCCTGGCGCCCACTTAATTAAGTAAGGAGGCAGGGCCACGGGCTTAAAAGTAATGTCATTTCTCATCCTCCGCTTCTAAACTCGGCTTCCGGCGCGCTGTCTGAGCATCAGAAAGTCTTGCAGCGCGCGACAGTTTGCCGCATCCCGCCTACACAGCGCCCAACCAACCATACCAACCCGGCACAGTCAAGCGGATGACGCAACAGAAGCCAAGGACCTAAGGAGTCGAATCGAGCAATATTAACTGGACATCGTTGGACAATCTGATCCCACACTCCAAGGCCTTCTGCACAGCTCTTTTAGGAAGGCACTGAGGCCATTCTTTCGTGCTTCCAAGTATTCTGGAGCAAACCTCACAGCTTTCCGTGTGAGAACAGAAATGAACCGCAACATCAGCGCGGCTCAGCCCTGTGCTGTCTGACTACCGACCTCAAAAAAGAGCGGACTCAAGTTACTGTACCAAACCCAGCTTTGAAATGGCAGAGGCTGCGCTATGCCTCTAAGGTCGCATCTTTGAAGGCATCATAGGGACAGACGCCAACTTCTTTTTTAGTGCCTGGTGACGTTGGCCCGTCAAGTGAAGTCTGATGGAAATGTCCGTGAGTATCATTAATTGATATTATTTATACAGCTGTCCTTAACTTCCTGCCTCTCTTGGTTGACATGGCCAAATGAATACAAAAAGGAAGGATCGAGGAGCCGTCATGTCCACAGTGATCCTGAATATTGCTGGATCCCGTGGGGAAGGAGCCTCACCTCATCAAGAGCCGCAAATTCATTGTATCGCTTGGTCACCTGCCAGGACCTGGGCAACTACAACATCGAAATTGTCCCAGGCTGTAGTGGTGTCCATGCTTGTGTCAACCAGCATTGTCTGATCAAAACAGCGGCACTAATATAATACATATATACAGTTAAATACATTGATGACCTTGCGCGGCTAGCTGGTCACATTTCACGCTCACTGTAAGCCACCAACTGACCTTCGAAGGAGACTCGTATGATATATTCCTGGGCGGGCAGGAGCTGAGCCTGTGGACTAGCAAGGAAACAATATGACTATATAAATGATGATCCAAAAGCATTTCATGGAGATCGAATTACTCCGGGGTGTTCCCCAGCAGAATGAACGGGCAATCATAAGTTTGATTCACCTCTGAGACTCTTGCTACATGCTGGCCGGTTTTCGCCAGGGACACCCTAGCTTTCACAGCCTGGAAGGGCAATGCAGGCAAGAAAGCATCTATATAATTGCACCTACAATTCCAACTGAAAACGGTCAAGGGGAACATGTCTTGAATGTCGTCCCTCTACGTCTGTGAGTGTCAAATCGTCCAAGCATGTTCTTGCGAGGCCAACAGCGCCGAATCGGTGATCCTTTGGCCCGTCAACGGATGCCAGGATCACGTCCAAGCCCTTGCTTAGCACATCTTGACCACTCCCAGCATCCACAACCTCAAAACCTCAAGTGGCAGGATATGACTGGACTGGATTTAACATGATTTAGTTTGAGTTAACCCTCTGTGAGTTGACTTCTGTCACGGCATGTCGTGGTGCTTCAGAAATACTCGGTGGACCGGTGGAAGAGGTATAATAACTATATACTAAATTCAGTTGTTGGAGCTGAGGTGTGCTTCATTACCTGAATTCAATACGGCCATTCATTCGCATAATTACACTGGCACTATTGGGCCGAACCATCGTGCTGCGTGTTGCGTTTTGGATTCTGGCCCTTGTTCGACACCACTGCAAATTTGCATTTAGATCTTCCTGTTTGTGCCAAGCCTACCCAATCTCTCAGCCATTTAAGGCAGGCGCGCTCCACCCATGCAGTCACTGGCACCTTTGATTGGCCATCAATTGATTTCACGAACCAACAAGGATGTCAAAGGAGTTGGGGAACATCGTCCCGCCACCAGTTCTTAAGTGCACCTGTTGTGAGGGCACTTCCTTGCTTTGGTTTGCTTTGTCATCCATCCTTTAGTGCTTCTACTGATGTTCAACGTTGGGTCAGCGAAACCCTTCAGGCAGCAAAGAGTGCACCAGTTGATCTGATCAATGATTTGGTTAAAGGGAAAATCTGCAGGAAACCCTCGTTTTCAACCCCAAAACCATTTAGCTTTCCTGAAGAGTTTCCCTTAAACCAATTCTGTGATCTGACCAAACGCATCCTGGTGGTCTTAAGTGTTGGTAAAAGTGCTATCCATCTTCTGACCTTTCATGAAGCATGGGCACGTTTCAGAACCTATGCGAACCTCTAGTCACCATGTACTATTCACCCTTATCAATCCGAAAGAGCTGGGCCCCAAGCATCACGTCCAACCTTTTGGACTTTTGCCATATTCTACGGAGGTGCTGAAGCACCTCAGCTGAAGCACCTTGGCCCCAGCAGGAAGGGAGGCACACGACTAGCACCTAGCGGTGCTACGCACCGACGTGTTGATCTCTATGCACGGGAGGCAAGGTCAGGAAGGGGCGCTGACACCGCCTATATCGAATGATACAAAGCTGCTTTTGGAGCCTGAAAGCTCGGAAAGGACACTTTCAGGAGCTGGCAGCGGAGCCGGCAAGCAGCAAAGCATGCTAAGACTCTGACCACGAACTTGCAGCTTTCTCCGCCTTTCCCTATGCTGGAGGCCAAGTGCTACGATAAGCACACAGCAAACAGTCCCAAAGTCTGGCTCTGGAACAAACTCACTCAGTTCCCTACCCAAATCAACAGTGAACATTCGCGGGCATCTGCTAGCATCACGCACAGTCATTTTGAAAACGATCGGAGTGTCTCCTGAAGATGGTTTGCCATCGCCAGGACATCTTTGCACATGTGCTGCAGGTTGACTGCAGGGCAAGTGGCACATTCGCGCCGTTCTAACTAGGCTCATTAACAGGCAACTTGCCGTTGCCGCCAATCAAATTGGACCAATCTACCCCATCTTCCTCAGTCTGCAGGGGAAGATTTGGACAACTCACTGTAAATGACGGTGGGCACATCCATGAGCCATGGCATTGCACGTAATGCCAAGCTGCGAGGCCGTACGAGTAACATGCCATTGCTACCCAGACTGCTCTATGAAACAGCCATGGTGCACGAGGCCGCCAAAGGAACTTAAACATAGCCCAGCCACAAACTGGGACGCAAGAAGAGGAGCTGGAGGGCCGCTGCTCCATCAAACCAAAGAACTCCTTGGCCTTGAAAGAGGGTCAAAAGCATTCAGCAAGTTCAATTTGCATCTGCAAGTGTCCTCCGAAATTGGGTTGACCCTTCATGACCCTTCATATTCACAGTAGTGTGACCCCGGCCGTCACTACTATATTCCCCACCTGATTCCCTCGGGTTTTGCACCAAGCAGAGTTGGTTAAACACCGGAGGTGCTCAAAAGAAGGAACCGGCGTGCCTCAATGGAACCTGTGTGCACTCCGTTGACGCACAAGAGTCTTCCCTGAGAGACAGGCACCATGTGCGTGAATGGAGCACGTGGAATGATCCATTGCTAGAGGGAGACAGCGTTCCCGTCCACAGACTTGTTGCATCATACAATATTCTTAACCCCGATTCCAACCTAGTGACCTAGTGTCCACACTAAAGCATGCCAAAGGTGCAGGCCAACGCCGACCGGCTGCCAGCAACAGAAGAGAACACCGAAAGCCAGAAGTGGAGTAAACATCTTCACGTGATTGTGATTGACATGCCGATGCCTGTGACCTACATTCACATCCTCCCAAACCCTTGCAGCTTCTCCTTCGGCAGCATCAAAGCTTCAGCTGGGCTTCCAGGTGTAATCCTTTCCACCACCAGGTGTCCAGCAGGCGGCAGAATCTTGAAGGCAATGCCTTGCTTTGAAAAGACATGCCTACTCCATGGTTCTGGCATGTTTGAGTTTTTGGGACAACCTTCTACTGAAACAAAGGCGGGTGAGACCCTTGGGAAGGTGCATAGAATCAACAAATGATTGATCAAAGCAAATGTCATTCCGGGAATTCACAAGGTTCATGAAACTCAAGTGGCAATTGATAGGTTCGTGGCGCATGCCAGTCAAATCGCGGCTGAGTACAGCTGAGTAATGCGGAGAAACATGGAGCAAACAGAACCATTGATAGAATGGCTCTCCCATGGCCCAAAAACATCCCAAGACAGGGGATTGGAAAGTCAGGGAGCCTTGCGCGTCGCCTGCATTGCTAATTCATAGTATGGGTCTGTGTTTTTCAACCCTGGCATTGGTCATGTGGGTCTTGCCAACTTGAAGTGCTTGAGCTGACACGGACAAGTCCATGTCCATCTGGTCATGCAAGTGTTCCCCTAGGTCAGGTGTAAAACGGTACGCTTGCAACTTCCACCCACGCCCACTGAATCACACTTCTAGGCCTTGGCATTACGGGGCTCATCTTTTGACAAGGTGCCAATCTTTTCCTCGTGGCAGGCCACTTGGAATTCGACCACATCCAGCAACCCGGCTCCATATCCGGCAAGCTTGGCAGCTTCCAGCAAATGCTGGGGCAGCCTAGCAGCAAAAAGGCATTTGCTGGTTGGAGTGGACTAGCCTGCGCAGCCTTCCACTACACTTGTTCGAGAAGATACGATAAATCGGAAAAAGAACAAAGCTCAGACCATCTCAAACGTTGGCACCCAATCCAAGGCAAGTAGCTCCACTGGTCTGATTATACTACCTCTCTTCTGCCGTTGGACACCCCAGTTCTCTGGCATTGGGACATCAGAATCCGAGTCTGAGTCCTCACCAGCTGGTTGCTCTGGATCAAAGATCTGCTCACTTGCAAAACGTTCATCCTCACGGCTGCCTGGAGGATTTGGGTCCTGACACTCAAATCGATTGCTGTAATAGCTTCCTCTGCGTGATGAAGTTCAGGGTCCCCTATTTTCTGTAAGTACTCTAATGACAATCCGATCGTATGGCCAATCATTTTCAATGCGTCCTTGTATCCTGCTTGCTGATCATCCACCTCCGGGCTATTTTTCTCCAAAGCTTCACTGGCCTCCAGTGGATTGGCACTGGTGGTGTGGCTTCTGCTGGCAGCCACTCTCTCGTTCCCAATGCTGAACACGTCTAACTTCTATCAGATTTGGGATGGTGAAACCCAAAATGTTCATCCCTTTTCTCTCTTCAGGGGGATCAGCTTCCTGCCCACAGCCAATCTCAGTCTCCTTGGTTCTGTGGCCTTCAATGTGGGGCGGGCTTGCTCACAATATGACGAATGTCTATCCATGAGTTCACGGATTATGATTAGCATTGCTTAGCACACTTACCAACAAGAAAAAGAGAAACAAATCAATTAATGCTTGCCTCGCAAGGTGCGCACACTGCCCCAGCAAGCCCCCGCAAAAAAGGATCAGTGACTCCAAGAATAGGTTTGTCATCTTCGTCTTTTCGGGTTGTGTTTTCTGGTTTCACACGAGTCCACCCCTGGTGGGTATGTCGTCACATGTCTGCAAAGACGAAGCGTGATGCTTTCAATGCTCTGATTCTGCTCTTTGTCTTTGGGAATGAAATTGAATTGTAAGTTTTGAGCAACAAATGTGATTATGCAAAGTGTGTTCTTTCTTGGGGCCGCTATCACTTTTTGGAGAATGTGCCAAGAGAAACCATTAGCATGTGCTGCAAGAGCAGGTGTCTTGATCAGGGATAGGTGTCAATGCATATTGTCTAAAAAGAAGTTGACATTTGGATAGGCAAACAGCTCGCAGTTCATGGTTCGGCAAACAGTTTCCAAAAAGGCACGAACAAGACCGCGGAACCCATATAGAAATCCCTTTACAGGATCCAGCTAAGGCATATCTATCTATCTACCTACCTACCTATCTATCTCTATCTATCTCTCTATCTCTCTATCTCTCTCTCTATCTAACTATCTATCTAATCTATATGCCTATCTATCTATCTATCTAGCTAGCTAGCTAGCTATCTACCCATCTATCCATCTATCCCTCTATCCCTCTATCCATCTACTCTCCTTAATTTTAAAAACTATATCTATGTCTATATTTTAGAAAAATGATGCGCTTTGCAGCTGTCTTGCTCTGAAGTAAGTGTGCCTCTTTGCCTCTTCCCTTTTTGTCTCATCTCTCTGTGCGGGCTAGCTCTCTCGCTGCAACGAGGAACCCTTAACATTGTAGGGGCGGCTGGGAACCAAGACTATGCAGGCGTCTACCCGAGAAAAGGAGCGAAGGTAGCCTGTCTCCTCCTCATTTAGCTCTTGAATTATTGGATAGGAAGACTAGCACCTGAAGATGGAGACAAAAAATATTTCAAGCCACCAAACCAAGAGACGGGCCCTTGCACAATAGGAATTCACGGGTGAAGAGAAGGGTCATGGTATGTTATGCTTAACTTAAAGTGACTGGAAGAGCTACACGAGAGAGCTGTTAAATTAGTTTGACACAGGAAGTGAGACACCTGCTCCCTTATCCCCCCTTTCCTTTACACCTGTACCTCATCAAGAATTATTCTCAAGCACTCTGTCAAGCCTATCTACGCATACATTTGGAACCACAAAAGCCGATAACAACTGCATTAAGCATCCTGGCTGTGAATTGGATGAGACCTGGAAAACTTGAACCGTTGGAAAACGGAACACCAACACAAACAACACCAAGAA